AATAAAAAGAAAAAGAAAAAAGAGCTTTATTGTTTTTAATTAGTTTTATAATTAAAAATATCACAATCCAAAACAAATAAACTGTTTTTACTTAAGGTCAAGTGTCAAATTTGAGAGATTAATGCAATTTGCTAAACCAGTACCTAAGCCTTTTGCACCCATTGCACCAATTTAATTCTTACTTTTTAAATATTGAATAAAAAATAAATCATTAAATAATTAATTAGAAGGAAAAAATGTAGAAAAAATGTCAAATAATAAGATTAATTAATTAAGATTAAAATTAAAAAATTTAAAAATAAAAGGATGAACTAAATAAATTAACGAAGAAAGAACAAAAAAAAGCAAGCACAATAAAAAGAAAAAGAAAAAAGTGCTTTATTGTTTTTAATTAGTTTTATAATTAAAAATATCACAATCCAAAACAAATAAACTGTTTTTACTTAAGGTCAAGTCTCAAATTTAAGAGATTTTTGCAATTTGCTAAACCAGAACCTAAGCCTGATGCACCTTTGTCACCAATTTAATTCTTACTTTTTAAATATTGAAGAAAAAACAAATCATTAAATAGTTAATTAGAAGTAAAAAATGAAGAAAAAATATGAAATAATAAGATTAATTAATTAATAATAAAAGTAAAAAATTTGAAAATAAAAGGATGAGCTAAATAAATTAACAAAGAAAGAACAAAAAAAAGCAAGCACGATAAAAAGAAAAAGAAAAAAGAGCTTTATTGTTTTTAATTAGTTTTTAAAACTTAAAATATCACAATCCAAAACAAAAAAACTGTTTTTACTTAAGGTAAAGTGTCAAATTTGAGAGATTAATGCAATTTGCTAAACCAGAGCCTAAACCTGATGCACCCATTACACCAATTTAATTCTAACTTTTTAAATATTGAAGAAAAAATATATCATTAAATAGTTAATTAGAAGGAAAAAATGAAGAAAAAATATGAAATAATAGGATTAATTTATTAATAATAAAAGTAAAAAATTTGAAAATAAAAGGATGAACTAAATAAATTAACGAAGAAAGAACAAAAAAAAGCAATTCCTATAAAAACAAAAAGAAAAAAGAGCTTTATTGTTTTTATTTAGTTTTTATAATTAAAAATATCACAATCCAAAACAAATAAACTGTTTTTACTTAATGTGAAGTGTCAAATTTGAGAGATTATTGCAATTTGCTAAACCAGAACCTAAGCCTGATGCACCCATTACACCAATTTAATTCTAACTTTTTAAATATTGAAGAAAAAATAAATCATTAAATAGTTAATTAGAAGGAAAAAATGAAGAAAAAATATGAATGAACAAAAAAAAAGCAAGCACAATAAAAATAAAAAGAAAAAAAAACTTTATTGTTTTTAATTAGTTTTTATAACTTAAAATATCACAATTTAAAACAAAAAAACTGTTTTTACTTAAGGTAAAGTGTCAAATTTGAGAGATTAATGCAATTTGCTAAACCAGAACCTAAGCCTGATGCACCAATTGCACCAATTTTATTGTAACTTTTTAAATATTGAAGAAAAAATATATCATTAAATAGTTAATTACAAGGAAAAAATTAAGAAAAAAATTTGAAATAATAAGATTAATTAATAAATAATAAAAGTAAAAAAATTGAAATTAAAAAGATGAACAAAATAAATAAACGAAGAAAGAAAAAAAAAAATAAAATTCCAATTAAAATAAAAAGAAAAAAGTGCTTTATTGTTTTTATTTAGTTTTTATAATTAAAAATATGACAATCCAAAACAAATAAACTGTTTTTACTTAAGGTAAATTCTCAAATTTGAGAGATTAATGTTTTTTGCTAAACCAGAACCTAAGCCTGATGCACCTTCATCACCAATTTTATTGGAACTTTTTAAATATTGAAGAAAATCTCAATCATTAAATAGTTAATTAGAAGGAAAAATGAAGAAAAAATATGAAATTATAAGATTAATTAATTAATAATAAAAGTAAAAAATTTGAAAATAAAAGGATGAGCTAAATAAATTAACAAAGAAAGAACAAAAAAAAGCAAGCACAATAAAAATAAAAAGAAAAAGAAAAAAGAGCTTTATTGTTTTTAATTAGTTTTATAATTCAAAATATCACAATCCAAAACAAATAAACTGTTTTTACTTAAGGACAAGTGTCAAATTTGAGAGATTAATGCAATTTGCTAAACCAAATCCTAAGCCTGAAGCACCCATTACACCAATTTAATTCTAACTTTTTAAATATTGAAGAAAAAATAAATCATTAAATAGTTAATTAGAAGTAAAAAATAAAGAAAAAATATGAAAGAACAAAAAAAAGCAAGCACAATAAAAAGAAAAAGAAAAAAGAGCTTTATTGTTTTTAATTAGTTTTATAATTAAAAATATCACAATCCAAAACAAATAAACTGTTTTTACTTAAGGTCAAGTGTCAAATTTGAGAGATTAATGCAATTTGCTAAACCAGTACCTAAGCCTTTTGCACCCATTGCACCAATTTAATTCTTACTTTTTAAATATTGAATAAAAAATAAATCATTAAATAATTAATTAGAAGGAAAAAATGTAGAAAAAATGTCAAATAATAAGATTAATTAATTAAGATTAAAATTAAAAAATTTAAAAATAAAAGGATGAACTAAATAAATTAACGAAGAAAGAACAAAAAAAAGCAAGCACAATAAAAAGAAAAAGAAATAAGAGCTTTATTGTTTTTAATTAGTTTTTATAATTAAAAATATCACAATCCAAAACAAATAAACTGTTTTTACTTAAGGTGAAGTGTCAAATTTGAGAGATTATTGCAATTTGCTAAACCAGAACCTAAGCCTGATGCACCTTCATCACCAATTTTATTGGAACTTTTTAAATATTGAAGAAAATCTCAATCATTAAATAGTTAATTAGAAGAAAAAAATGAAGAAAAATATGAAATAATAAGATTAATTAATTAATAATAAAAGTAAAAAATTTGAAAATAAAAGGATGAGCTAAATAAATTAACAAAGAAAGAACAAAAAAAAGCAAGCACAATAAAAAGAAAAAGAAAAAGAAAAAAGAGCTTTATTGTTTTTAATTAGTTTTTATAATTAAAAATATCACAATCCAAAACAAATAAACTGTTTTTACTAAAGGTCAAGTGTCAAATTTGAGAGATTAATGCAATTTGCTAAACCAGAACCTAAGCCTGATGCACCTTCATCACCAATATAGAAGGGCTAAGCGGCTCGAGTGGGCGAGTCGGAGGGTCTTAGCAGTGATATCGGGGGTTCGAATCCTATACCGCCCCCTTTATTTCGAAAAATTCCATGTAAAAATTGATATAAAAAAATTATTTATATTTTAAATAAGAATAAATTAAATTAATATAATTCTATTATAAAATATAAAAATTAGATTTTTTAATAAATAACTAAAAAATCTATTTCATAATAAGTGGCATCCAAACGATAGAATTTTTGAATGGCATCTTACTATATCTATATAAGAAGATTAATATAATAAAAGACTAGCAGCTTTGATATAGATAATCTAGGTTTTGTCGAGTTTTTATGATCAAAATAAATTTTTTATTTTTTATAACAAAATAATATATAATTCCTTTTTTCAGAGCAACAGTTATTGCTCTCATCTCATTTTTAGTTTAAAATCTCTTCTTCTAAAGATTCAATTTTATATTTAAAATTTCCATTAAAGTTAGTTATTCAACTCTTTTTCATTAGATTTTTATTTTATTAGTTGGATCTTGGAGCAAAATTTTAAATTCATTTTATCGTACAGATAACTATTTTTTGGTATTTTCTTCATAGTATTTATCATTTGAAGTTTATGCACTAATTTTTATTTCAAATATATCATTGATTTGTGCGGTAAAATATATTTATTTATCTCATTCATTTTAGGTATATTTTATTTGATAGAAAAAATTATCAAGTTTACTATTTGAAAATATTTTTAAATTTAAAACTAGCTATAGAAGAATTTTTGATAAAAGAGAGACCACAAATAAATTAGTGATTTTCAGATATTAATAATTTTTCACTAATTTTACTGTATATTTAATTAAATTTGAGTCTTTAAAAATTAAAAATTCCTTTTTCAAAAAACATGAAAAAATAAAATTATTTTTTGAGTTTTAAATTTATTTTGAAAAAGTGAGAATGACTGAACTTTCATATTTAATTAAAAGAGTTATTAAGCTCGATTAGCTCAGCTGGTTAGAGCATGCGGCTGTTAACCGCAAGGTCGTAGGTTCGATCCCTACATCGAGCGCTTTTTTTTTGGTTATAAAACTAATTGATAATCTTACATCAAAACTTTAAATTTTATTATGTAAATAAAAATGAGTAATTTGATTGAAATATATGAATATTTTATAAATAAATTATTTTATGTATTCCTTAAATAAAATGTATCTATTTATCAATTGATTTTTTGATAAAACATATATTGATTAACAAGCATAATTGATACAATTATTTAATTTTGTTGTTTAAAAACAAATAAATGTTTTATTTTATAGTTCTTATTTTCAAAAAAAAGTATTTTTTAATCTTTTATTTTTTAGATCTTTAAACTAGTAAATAAATATAAAAAAGATAGTTTATAATTGAATTAATTATTTAATCTTAATTTTTTAATGAAATGTATTTCTGTATCTTTTTTATTATAAAAAAATTATCAAAATCTCAAATTTCTTTCTTACTTATTTATATCTTTAGTTAATATAAAAAATGTACATTGAATATTATAATTTGTTCTTTTATAATTATTTTTAAAATTTTATTTAAAATAAAATTTATTTTAAATGCAAATAAAACTATTATTCAATGAACAATTTAATGAAGATGATAAAATTACAATGCATTTACTGAGTTTTTCTCAAAATAGTTATTTTTTTTATTAATATTTTATATCATTTCTTATTTTAAATGGTTAGAAATAGAGCAATTTAAAATGATTATTTATTTTCAAATCAAGCTTTTAATTTTCATATTTAACTGATATTTCAAATTATAAGTTAATAAATAATCAATTAATTACTTATTTAGCTTATTCTATGGTGTAATGCTTTTTCTTCGTCAAAAAATTGCATTTAGCAAAATAATATCAAAAGTTTTAAAAAAAGAAATTAAATAATTGAGTTTTTTACATAATGGAAAAGTAAGCAACAGTTTAAATTTAATGTGGTTATTATGAAAGATGTGCATTAGTTTTTTATAAAAGTAATAAAAATATTTTTAGAAATTATTGACTTACAAAAATATGAATGATATTTGTAATATAATAACAATAATAAAATCTATATATCTATTTTTATTTTAGGTTAAAAAAACTTTTTCCAAATATTATATAATAAAATGAATCATATTTAATTATACAAACATTTAATATTTATTCAGCTTTTTTTCACTATTTGTTTATCAATATATCTTAAAGACAACTAATCTTTTTGATTTAAGACACTTGCTTATTACTTTGAATTTTTGTGATTTTTTCATTTTGCTAAAAATTTTATAATAAATTTGTGTAAATTTTAAATAAATATCAAATAGAATACGCTTTTAAATTAAAAATTATTTCTTATATTAATAAATAATAAAACATTAGTGGAATAAAAAGATTAAAAAATAAATCAAATAAAAGCTACAAATAAATTCAAAGAGCTTTTTTGTTTTATATCCACTATTTTTGTTTAAAATATCACAATCCAAAACAAATAAACTGTTTTTACCTAAGATTAAGTTTCAAATTTGAGAGATTAATGCACTTTGCTAAAGCAGAACCTAAGCCTAATACCCCTTTATCACTAATTTAATTCACACTTTTTGAATATTGATAAAAAAAAATATAACATTCATTAAATAGTTAAAAAGAAGGAAAAAATGAAAAAAAAATATGAAAAAATAAGATTAATTAATTAATAAAAGCAAAATTCAAAAATTAAATGATGAGTTAAATTAATAACATTGATAGAACAAAAAAAAAGCAAGCACAATTAAAAAAAAAAGGACCTTAATTGTTTTAAATAAGTTTTTATAATTAAAAACATCACAATCCAAAACAAATAAACTGTTTTTACTCAAGGTTAAGTGTCAAATTTGAGAGATTAATGCACTTTGCTAAACCAGAACCTAAGCCTGATGCTCCTTCATCACCAATTTTATTGAAACTTTTTAAATATTGAAGAAAAAATATATCATTAAATAGTTAATTAGAACGAAAAAATGAAGAAAAAATATGAAAAAATAAGATTAATTAATAAAAGCAAAATTCAAAAATAAAATGATGAGTTAAATTAACAAAGATAGAACAAAAAAAAGCAAGCATGATAAACAGAAAAAGAAAAAAGAGTTTTATTGTTTTAAATTAGTTTTTATAATTAAAAATGTCACAATCAAAAACAAATAAACTGTTTTTACTCAAGGTTAAGTGCCAAATTTGAGAGATTAATGCCTTTTGCTAAAGCTGAACATAAGCCTGATACCCCTTCATCACCTATATAATTGTGGCTTTTAAATATAGAAGAATCATTAAATAGTTAATTAGAAGGAAAAAATGAAGAAAAAATATGAAAAAATAAAATTAATTAAATAATAGTAAAAGCAGAAGTTAAAAATAAAAAAAAAGAGTTAAATAAACAAAGAAAGAACAAAAAAAAAAGCAAGCACAATAAAAAGAAAAAGAATAAAGAACTTTATTGTTTTTAATTAGTTTTTATAATTTAAAATATCACAATCCAAAACAAATAAACTGTTTTTACCTAAGATTAAGTGTCAAATTTGAGAGATTAATGCACTTTGCTAAACCAGAACCTAAGCCTGATGGTCCTTCCTCACCAATTTTATTGAAACTTTTTAAATATTGAAGAAAAAATATATCATTCATTAAATAGTTAATTAGAAGAAAAAAATGAAGAAAAATTAAGTTTAATTAATTAATAGTAAAATCAAAAGTCAAAAATTAAATGATGAGTTAAATTAACAAAGATAGAACAAAAAAAAGCAAGCACGATAAACAGAAAAAGAAAAAAGAGCTTTATTGTTTTAAATTAGTTTTTATAATTAAAAACATCACAATCCAAAACAAATAAACTGTTTTTACCTAAGATTAAGTTTCAAATTTGAGAGATTAATACACTCTGCTAAAGCAGAACATAAGCCTGATGCACCTTCATCACCAATTTAATTCCAACTTTTTAAATATTGAAGAAAAAACATATCATTAAATAATTAATTTGAAGGAAAAAATGAAGAAAAAATATGAAAAAATAAGATTAATTAATTAATTAATTAATTAATAAAAGCAAAAGTTAAAAAAATGATAAGTTAAATTAACATAGATAGAACAAAAAAAAGCAAGCACAATAAAAAGAAAAAGAAAAAAGACCTTTATTGTTTTAAATAAGTTTTTATAATTAAAAGCATCACAATCCAAAACAAATAAACTATTTTTACTCAAGGTTAAGTGTCAAATTTGAGAGATTAATGCACTTTGCTAAAGCAGAACCTAAGCCTGATGCACCTATTTTACCAATTTTATTGAAACTTTTTAAATATGAAGAAAAAAGATATCATTAATTAAATAGTTAATTAGAAGAAAAAAATGAAGAAAAAATATGAAAAAATAAGATTAATTAATTAATAAAAGCAAAATTCAAAAATAAAATGATGAATTAAATTAACAAAGATACAATAAAAAGAAAAAGAAAAAAGAGCTTTATTGTTTAAATTAGTTTTTATAATTAAAAATTCACAATCCAAAACAAATAAACTGTTTTTACTCAAGTTTAAGTGTCAAATTTGAGAGATTAATGCACTTTACTAAACCAAAACCTAAGCCTGATACACCTATTTCACCAATTTCATTGGAACTTTTTAAATATTGAAGAAAAAATATATCATTAATTAAATAGTTAATTAGAAGAAAAAAAATGAAGAAAAAATATGAAAAAATAAGATTAATTAATTAATAATAAAACCAAAAGTCAAAAATTAAATGATGAATTAAATTAACATAGATAGAACAAAAAAAAGCAAGCACGATAAACAGAAAAAAAAAAAGAGCTTTATTGTTTTAAATTAGTTTTTATAATTAAAAACATCATAATCCAAAACAAATAAACTGTTTTTACCCAAGGTTAAGAGCCAAATTTGAGAGATTAATGCACTTTGCTAAAGTAGAACTTAAGTCTGATACACCTTCATCACCAATTTTATTGAAACTTTATAAATATTGAAGAAAAAATATATCATTTTAATTAGAAGGAAAAAATGAAGAAAAAATATGAAATAATAAGAAATAAATAATAAAAGCAAAAGTCAAAAATAAAAAAAAAGAGTTAAATAAATATATATATGTGATGTTAATATAAAAAGTGGAGATAATATTTTTATATAAAAATCTATTAATGAATGTTTATTCTTGATTTATGAGTTCGTAAAATTTTTCAAAAAAATGATATGTTATAAGAATATATGGTAAATATTATTTCAAATTTTACATTTTGTGAATTTAAAGCTTTCTAAAAACTCAAAAATAGAGCTGTTTTAAGCTAATTTAGCTTTATTTATTATGTTATTAAGATATATTACATTTCGCCTTTTGTAAATTAAATAGGCATTTCACTCTAGTTAATTAGAAGGAAAAATGAAGAAAAAATATGAAAAAATAAGATCAATTAATAATTAATAATTAATAAAATTAACAAAGAATGAAAAAAAAAGAAATCACAATAAAATGAAAAAGGAAAATAAGCAAATTAATTAAAAGCGATTTTATGTTTTAAATATAATTTTTATAATTAAAAATATTAGAATCCAAAACTAATAATCTTCTTTTATTAAGTGTAAGTTTTAATAGTAAAAAATATCAAATTATAAAAAATGAATAACAAATAATATTAAAAATTGAATTGAAAATTATGTTAAAATAGCGAAAAAATTTTTTTTAAATAAAAATCAATGAATAATGATGATAATTCCTATAACAAAAATTATTTATTTAAATAAATTGAAAGTTAAATTTATAAAAAATATTAAGAATAATAAAAATAATATTTATAAATAAAATATACGATAGATGAATACAGAGTTCCTAATGAGATAAAGGTGAAGAACTTAAAAACTTTTTTTATTAATTTATATAAATTTAAAGGATATAAATAAAAAAATAAATTATTACTTTTTATAATTTTTTATATCTTTTACTCTATTATATCATTTATTTTTTTCAAAAATAATTAATAGCAATTTATATAATTTAATTAATTAATTAATTACAAATGGATAAAATGAACAAATAATATGTAATAATTAATTATCAAATATTAATTTATAAATTTGATTTTATGAAGAGATATCACATAAAAATTAATTTAACATTCATTATTTAATGTTTATATTTTTTAAAAACAAACACTTAAAAATATATATAGTAGGAATTAGAGATGACCAGTTAGTAATATTTGAAAAAATTCTATTAATTAATTAATGTTCAAAGCAAGCATTTAGCTATACCCAAAATCCTCAGGTTTAGGTAAGTTAAGTGATTTTTTTACTATTATATATATAATAATCTAACCTTTTTAAATAAAGATAATATTTATCTAAAATATAATCATAATTATTGGATTAGAAAGTATTTTTATTTATTTCTCAAGCTTTCATTAATATATATGATTTAGTGCTATTAAATTATAAAAATACCTCTTAAAAGTAATAGAGATGTAAAAGATAAAGAATTTAAAAAATATTTTATTTAGTTACATATTTTTGACTTATTTATTAAGTCCTTTTCATGTCTATTTTCTTTTATCTGTTTAAAAAAAGCAAATAAATTAATTAAAATAAAAGTATTTAATTTTAAAAATATATTTTTTTTATTATTTTATTTGAGTAATTTTTTTATTCCTAATTATATCATTCTGATATCTAATTATATCTATGTTGTAATACCTAATTAATGTTAAAAAGAATGCAAATAAATTAATTAATATAAAAGTTTTTTCATTTTAAAAATGTATTTTTTTTATTATTTTATTTCACACATTTATTTTTATAGTTGTAGTTTTTTCTAAGTAATACTAAAAAGAATGCAAATAAATCCATTCAAATAAAAATGTTTTAATTTTAAAAATATATTTATTTATTATTTTAATTACTTATTTTTTTAGCTTGTAATATCTATATTCTAATATTTAATTAATGTTAATATGAAAGCAAATAAATTAATTCAAATAAAAGAATTTAATTTTTAAAAATATGTTTTTTATTATTTTATCTCACCTTAGTCCTAGTTATATCGAATTGATGTTAAAAAGTATGCGAATAAATTCATTCAAAAAGATTATTATATTTTCAAAAATATTTATCTTTTGAATCAATTGATTAAATGTGCACTTGGGTACAGTGCAAATCTGAATATATACTTTGTGAAGCACACCTTGTGTGAAACAAAATTAAAATTTATAAAACGCACATTAGCTAGGTAGGTGCTCATAAACTAAAAATAGCCAAAATTGTTTTATTTAAATATTTTTTAAAGTTACAATTTTTTTATTATTTTATTAAATAAACTTTTTTAGTCCTCGCCTTATATATGTGCTAATATATATTTAATTAATGTTAAAAAGAATAAAATAAATTCATCTATATTCTAATAGCAAATCAAATAAATTAATTAAAATAAAAGAGTTTTAATTTAAATAATTTATTATTTTACTTGACCAATTTTAAGTAAGTCATATCTATATCCTAATCTAATTAATGTTAAAAAGAATAAAATAAATTCATCTATATTCTAATAGCTATTCAAATAAATTAATTAAAATAAAAGAGTTTTAATTTAAATAATTTATTATTTTACTTGACCAATTTTAAGTAAGTCATATCTATATCCTAATCTAATTAATGTTAAAAAGAATGTAAATAAATTAAATAAAATAAAAGTGTTTTATTTTTAAAAATATATTTTTTTATTATTTTATTTGACTAATTTTAATTTAAGTTTAATCATAACTATTTTCTAATATCTAATTAATGTTAAATAAATTAAAATAGAAGTATTTTATCTTTTTACCTTTTTAACAAGGTAGAATAATTATTGTATTTCAAATAATAAATAATTTAATAATTAAATTTTTTATAATACCTTAATCAATTAAGGCGATTTCAAAATAAATAAATAGATAGGATAAAATTTGCTTAAAAGTTATGACTAAATCATAAGTTTAAGTCCCATTAGTTCTTTTAATACTTTTATTGCTAGCTGGAAGGGTAAATTCAGGACCAGGATCTTGCGTTAGTTGTATGGCTAGTTTGGCATCATATTATGGCTTGTCAGCTACTGCAGTTTCTGCTTGCTTTGCTACTGTTATTCCACAAGCTGTTTGTGCATGTATGGCTGCATTAGCAGGGGGTTCGATTATAGTTGGAACTATGACTTGTATTGGAATTTGCTTATCACCTTTATTTTGATAAAATACTCAATGTATTTATTTACATAATTAAAATAAATAAATATATTTTTTATGTTGTTTTACATTAAGAAATAGACTTTTTATTTTAATCTAGGTATTGCCGTTCCTGCATTTGAAATATCATGAATCATGATATCATGATTTGTGATATTTCAAGTAATTTTTAAATTTATTATAAATATTTTTTTTTTATAAATCTTAATTTTTATATTTTTATTTAATTTCAAAATATTAAAATTATTTAAATTTAATAATATATAGAATTAATTTAAGATTATTATAATTAAATTTTATAATAATTATTTTTTAAAGAGTTTTTTATATTTAAAAAAAATGTTATTTAAAAATTTTTTATTTTATTTGATTTTACCAATATTGGTTTGTCTTAATTATTAGTAATTAATAATTTAAATAAAAAATTCTTTTGTTTATTAGTCGATTAAGAGAAAAATAGTTCATATTCATTTTTTAATTATAAAAATTTTGTTATCCCATTTAATTTTTTCTATTGCCTAATTGTTCGACTAAATAAAATTTAGTAACTAAAATATCCATAAAATTTCTTTTAGTTATTCAGTCGAAAGAAATTGTATTTTTGACATATTAATTTTCGGTGTTAGTTTTTGGTTTCTTTTTTTGTTTATTTGAGATAAAAATTTTATACTAGATTTTGATTTGATTAAGTTTATATTTAAATACATCTAAAATTAGTTAAAAATAAAAATTTAATAAGGAGAAGAGACTTCAACAAATAGTTTAAATAAAATCACAATATTGAATTTAATTAATAAAAGTATCAATTTTCATTTCAGCTAGCAAAAAATACTAAATTAATCAGTTTTTTCAATTTTAAAGCTTGTCTCTTCAATTATTATTGGTAAATTTCATCTATTTAATTACATCTATTACAGATTATAAAATAATAAGAAATTTAATAAATAAAATTTAAGTTTTGAAGATTTATATAAAAATATTTAAATAAAAAATAAATAAATTTAATTTATTTGAAATAAAAATTACTCTAAATTAAAAGACAGAAATTTTAGCTTTTAAAGCTTAGATAATTAGGAGCTTATAGAATTAACATCATTACCGATTTCATTTTGCCTTTATATAATAAATTTAAAAGCTATTAAACAAATAATAAATTTATATCAAATAAATATGTAAAATTAATTTATATTTAGAAAAATTACCAAACATCAATAGCTATTGACTCTAATTTTTAGCACCTTTATAGGCTAGATAATAACTATGCTACTCCTTCTCCACCTATATAATTATTCCTTTTAGTTTTAGAAGAAAAAAATATATTTTTTTAAGAATATAAAATATTCAGATTACTGTAAGCTTATTTAAAGATCTTTCAATTAATGACAATTAGAGATAGCAGAGCATAAAGTAGAAACTCCTTCCTTATTTATACTGTTGTTACTATTTATAAATGACAGTTAAAAAAAATGAAAACCAATTCAACTAGTAAATGAAAAAATAATTTTTTAAAGATAAAAATGTATATCTTGAAATTAAATTATAATAACTAATAGAATGATCTTTTACTCTAAATTTAACGTTAAAACATTGAGGTTTTAAACGTAAATTAATGCTGTGACTATTCCCATAACACCATTTTCTCCAATATTACTTTACCTTTTAACATTTTTTATTAGAATGAAATGTTAATTTTTATTGATTTAAATAGTTGAAATGATTTTCTTCCTCAGAATTTATTTTTTATAAAAAGTAGTAAATAAATAAATTCATATTACAAGTCTAATTCTAAAACATTCAATCTTTTAAATTTTGGAAATAATTAGCCTAAGTTTGATGCTATATCACTATTTATTTCACTACATCTTTTTTAAATACATAATTAAATTTAAAAACAAAAAAATAAAAAGTAATTAAAAAAAGAATACTTTAAAGATAGTTTCATATTTTAGAGGTTAGAAATATTTGATAAACCAGAAAATAAACCTTTTAAACCTTCGTTATTTGTTTGACTTTAGCTTAAATAAAAAAATATTTGATTAAATAGTTTTAATAATATTGTAAATTGATTAAAATATTATTAAGATATACTTTAATTCAAGCAATAACTTAGTGAGATTTTAGCATTAACTTAAACCTGAACCAAGAATAGATGCTGCTTTTGAACTGATGACATTATTACTATATAAAAATAAATAAAATTAAAAAATAATTTCATATTTTTAATTAATATTCTTCATTCAAAATTTGATTTGTATATTTCAAATATTTACTTTAACTGTAGATCTATCATATTTAGATTCTTCAAATTGGCAAACATTTCACTTAAGTAAGAAATTCCATTTTCATCAAAGCTATTATTACTTAAATTAAACTTTTTTATTTTTATTCTTAAGCTTTTAAATATAAACAAATTTCTGTTATTTATTTATTTATTTATTTATTCCCGTATTTTAATATTGAAAATTTATTATATTCCATTTTTCTTCTTTCTATTTAAAATGTTATTTTTCAATATACTACTATCACATAAAAAAGTTAAAATTTTAATTAAGCTTGTTTTTATTGATTTTAAATTTATATTAGATTGGTAAAATTATATCTAAAAATGTTGTTTTATACTTTAGACAAAAGGTAATTGAACAAAGATTTTAGCAAGTTTATATGCCAGAGCATAGATCACATATTTCTTAATTCCCAATTTCATTCTATCTTTTTATTTAAAAAAATATATATACATATAAATTATTTTTGAAAAAATAGATGTTCATTAGGTATGAGTGTTCAAAGTGCAGTGCGCATGAGCATATTTGAGAGATTTAAGTTTTAAAAATATTTATAAAGAACTTTTATTGGTTTTAATTTACAGTAATTCCTCATTAATTAAGGCCACTGCCCCCAAAATTTTTAGAAAAAAAATGGCCTTTATTTGGTGTTTATTTATTTTTTTTTTTTTTTTTTAGCTGCTTTTAAAATATTATTTGGATGTTAAAAAATAAATTTGTTTGCAGAAAATTAAAATAATTTATGTGCTCAAAAATAAAAATTGGATATTTAGCGCAATGTGCAACCTGAAGCAAATGTTAAAATAATGCTAATAAAATTAAACAATTTTAAAGAAATTTTACTCTAAATAAAGGATCAACGTTTTTAAGTTTTAGCAATTTCTTAAACTTTATCCAATATAAGACATATCTTATTGATTTAAATTGCTATAGCTTTTAATATTGTAGTAATTTTATCATTAAAGCTATTATAAATTAATTAACATTACCATATCATTAATTCTAATTTTTCTAATTTTCTAAAGTCAGAAAATGCAAATAAGATGTTGTCTTCAAATTGATATATTAGATCAGCACTTCTATTTTATTAAAGTTTAAGAATAATTCAACAATTATTCATAAAATTTAATTTACAAAAGATTCAAACACAAATATTCTAAATTTTAGCACTTTGATAAATTTTAGATCAGCCCAGATAAACCTAAAAAACCTACTTTATTATATCTTTATTAAAAAAAATATTTCATATTATTTTTATTAAGTGAGAAAATTATAGTTTTGATATTTACCCTAAATTCAATGTAAGAGTTTTTAAATTAGAGCAAAAACTCAAAGAATAACCTAAATCATTCACACTTTTCTCTCCAATTTAATTTTCGCTATTTATTTATTTTAGTTAAATAAATAGATAATCATTCGCAATTAATTTAATAAAATCATTTTTTTAATTAATTTTTCATTTTTAATAAAAAATATTAATAGTACTTCAACCAAATTTTTAGACTCTACATTTCTTTGAATAGCTTAAAATGTGGAATTAAATCAGATAACCAGCTATCACTGATATTGTTTTAACTAATTTATTAATTAAAATTTTAATATAAATTTTAAGAAAATCAACATTTGAATAGATTTGAAAGTGTGTTTATAAGTTAAATTTTTATTATTTTATGAAAGATTATATATTCATTTTAATTTTACTAAAGATCAAGTTCTAATGACTAAATGTTAACATAATTACTTAAAGCTACTTTGAAATCTAAAGCTTGAGTCTCTCCTAAATTCTGCTGGCTATTTAATTATCATAATAAATTAATTTGGAGAAAGAGTATCTTCCTAGATTAGACTTTAAAAACTGTTTATAAATTAAAATCAATTTAAAATAATTTTGAATAAATATCTTAAGTACTTCTTCTTGATTTTCATAGTGAGAAATCTTCTTAGTTTCCATTCTTTTAATTTCTTTTTCTTTTTTATTTAAGATTTTAATTTTTTTAATCAAAATAACAAACAAACCCAACTCAATTCCAAAACACTTATAAGGAAAAAGCTAAAAACTTTTATAATTAAATTTTAATAAAAGTATTAAATTTGTAATAAAAAATCTTATCAAAAATTATAAAAAAGTAAGAGCAATTAAAAAACACAAAAAAAGTGATAAGATACCATCAGAAATTTTTAATTATTATTTTATCCTAAAATAATATTTGATTTACATATACTGTAAACTCTAAATATGAACACAGTCAAGATAATACAAAATTTTATAAATTATTTTTATTTATAATACCCTCGAAAAAGGTGAAAATAAAATTTGGGAGTGTATGAATGAGTATTAAGGTATATAAAATAAAGTGGATTACATTTTTAAATGATTAAATATATTTATAATTTTCTAAATTTATTGATAATTCATTTATCTGATTTATTTAATTAGTATATTAATTATTAATTTCATTATATTATCTAAAATAATTTTATTTTCTATCTTATAAATTTATTGTTATAAATTTATCTTAATCGAATCAATTTTTTTTTTAGTATTAAAAAGATATTTCTAAGAGATCTTCTTTCTTAAATGTCTTTTCAACCTATTTTTTAGCTTTCTTTTCTTTTTCTTTATTTAAGAGTTCTCTTTATTCTAAATTTTATTATATAAACTTATACTTAAAATATTTTTTTAAAGAAGAAAGTAAAAAGTTTGATGTTAAAAATTTTTTATTAATTTTTTAATTGAAATGTTTTTTCACAAACGAGGTGTTTTATCAGGTAGAATATCAGAGCTGTAGAGATTATCTAGCACTTTTTAAAATACTTTCTTTGCTATATGGCGCTAAAGTTTCATACTTTGTGTTAAACATCCATGCTATGCAAAAGAGACAGGCTCAAGATAAATTTTCTTTGCTTACTCATAAGATATTAAACCTTCTTTCCTCCCAAATTGCTGCAAATTTTCCAAATAGAAACTATTAACAAGTTGATTTTAGCATAAATTTTGTAGGTTAGTTTCTTTTATGTTTAATTAATTTGCTATTTTTATTAATTCTTCTGGATTTGGAACTATTATCGCAACACAATATCTTTAGAAAGGATCACCATAAATAAATACTTCTTAAACTCCTCTAACCCTGATATAAATATTTTCAACTTTTTCTGGAGATATATATTCTCCTTGTTGAAGTTTAAAAAGGTTTTTCTTTCTATCAATAATTCTTAAAGCTCCATTAGGTAAGATAACTCCAATATCGCCTGTATGTAGCCAATTTTCTTAGTCAAAGGTTTCTTCTGTTTTTTAGTCATCTTTAAAATATCCTGCAAATATATTATGCCCTCTAAGACATATTTCTCCTCTTGGAGTGGCTATCCCTCTTTAATTTTTATCTGTTGTAAAGTAACCCATTTCAGGTACATCTACTAATTTAAGTTCATTACTTACAGTTACTCCTCCAACTTAATTCTCAATTTAAACTCCTGAGATTTAGCTAGTAGCCATTCCACAGCTCTCTGTTAGCCCATAACCCTAAGAGACATTACAACATAATACAACTTTTAAAAAGTCTATAACTTCTTAAGAAATAGGGGCTGATCCACTGCTGATATTTTTTATTTTTCCTCCAAAGATATCTCTAAATTTACTGAAAAAAGGTTCATCATACAATGAATGTTTAAAAGTGTACTTCTATTCATCTTTTAAATTACTTAATTTTTCTTCAATTGCTCTACAAATTTAGCTTTACTCTTCTTTTGGAAGATCTTTAATAATTTAATTGATTTCACTAAAGTATTTATTCATTAATCTTGGAACAAATACTAAAAAAGTAGGTTAAATATCAGCTATATCTTCTTTTAATTTAAGTATATTTCCACTTGAATAGGCTATTTTAGTGCCAGTGTACCAACAAGTAATTGATCTAAACCTCTCATATATATGCTACAAAGGTAAATAGCTTATATGAGTATCACTTTCATTTTATTAAAATATAAAATGCTACTAATTTTTAATAGTGGCAATCATATTTCTATGAGTGATCATAGCAGCTTTAGGATTTCCAGTTGTCCCTGATGTATAGCATAAGCTAAAAATAGTATCAGTCGGTAAGTTCTTAGGAAGAGGAACTTTATTTATTTTTCCTTACTCTATCAAATGCTAAAATTGATATATTTTAATACCTCTATCTTCTAAGACCTCTTTAATCTTTAAATCATGGTCATCGTCAAGCAAAATTATGTTTTTTAAATTTTGGAATTAATCTTTTTAAATTAAAATCTCTACAGATTAAGTAGAACAAATACAAGTGGTTAAGCCTGAATGAGCTAAAATATAGCTAACAGAATCAAAGCCAAGAGATTCTTAAATAGGAACCATAGTATATCCATACAAGGCGTTAGCCATATCACATATTGTCCATTCAAGTCTATTTTTGCAGTACAAACCTATCAATTTAATGACTCCATTAAAATTTTAATTTAAATTGCTATAAAATCTAAATTTCTTTTGTTCATCTGTTATCTTTAAAAAGCTCATATTTTCAATAATAGATCCCAAGCAAACTGCTTAATTAAATATTTTATTGAAGCTTTCATACTCATAAATCCCTGTTTTATGATTTTTCTTTCCTACAAATTCTGATAAACCATTTTACTTCAGTCTGAAGGTAATAACATCTTAGAGATTATTAATATTTGGATGTGGTTTATATAAAAGCTAACTTAAAGATTAAGGATTTCTCATAGTAAATGTTGAGTCTGCAGGTTTTTAACCTACAGGTAAGTTATATATCCTCTTTTAAAATTCCTTCTCAAATGGAGATTTTTCCATTTTTTGAGTTAATTTAGCTGGTTTTGTATTTAATTATGATATAGTTTAAAAATATCTATAGTCTAAAATCCTTATTTAAATATAAAAACAAACAATTTAACAATTTTAAAGATCTATTTTAATCTTTTAATTAATTAAAATAAATATATTTATTAAATAATAAAATTTTAGTAGTTTACAAGTTATGTTTTTACATTAACAGAGGAAAACAAAAAAAATCATTATGATTTTTAAATAAAATAATTTGTATTTTTATTGAATATTTTATTTAGATGTAAATTTAAAGCATGAATTTATTGGATAAAAATAATTTTTAATTTATAATTTAGGAAAATAAATCTTTTAAAAGTAACCAGATAGGCTGTTTGATATTCACAGATGGTAAAATTATTTCAATAAATTTAACCACTTTAAAATTTTTTTTAATTTCATTTATTTTACTTTACATCAAAAAATTTATTTGAGAGTGTTTAAAATTTTTTGTTTAAATTATTATAAATATTTAAAACACTCTAACTTCGCCAAAATTGACCTATAACTTTTGAATATTTCAATAAAATGCTTAAAAATTCTCCATTTCTCACTATTAGTTGCAATTCATCATGAGAAATTATAGTTTTCTCAAATTATTTGTAAATATGTAAGAATCAATTCGAATTCTTTTTATATATAGATAGTTTCAAATGAAAAAAGTAAAAAATGTATTTTTAAGACAATAAGTTAATATAAAAAATCTCAGCACAAAATTTATAGCTATTTTAATCAATAGAAGCTTCTCCAAGTAGTATGTAGCTCTTTAAAAATATACTACTGATAATTAATACTTTATATTCAATTTTCTATTTCAATTGAGATTTTGCTCTTTTTTATAACCTCTATTATTCAAAATAAATAAATTAATTAATTAATATCAGTTTTTCATTAATTCATTCATATTCTTGTGAAAGACTGATTTCATTAGAACTTTAAATAAAGTAGTAATAATTACAAAAAAAAACCTCAAAAAAAGTTTTGTTAAAATTTTAAAGGTGAGTAAAGTTAAGAAAAAGCAAACAAACATAATTAAAAAGGAAATAAATAATAATTGTAATCATCATAATTGAATACATAAAATTAAGTTTAAAGAATTTTAGTTTACCTTAAATTTAATTTAATTAAGAAAATAATAATTAAAAAAAATTACTTCTTTAAATAAAATTATTAATTTAATTTTAAGTTCTAAAAAATAAAAAATTATTTGATTTACTTCATCACTTTTAAAGATAAAAAACAAAATATTATTAATTAACTTTATATCATATAGCTTTTAAGACATTAATATAATCCTGAATATAAAAATAAATTTGCTTATTGTCAAATTATAAATTAGTAATGTTGCTTGAGACTAAATAAACCTTGCTCTTTAATTATTAGGTAAAACTCCTGAATAATTGGACAACTAAATCATAATTATTTACTATTAGCTAACTTTATTCAAAAGTAAAAAACATACTAGACTAATTTCTTAAGCTTTAAAGCTTTTCTTTTTATTTGTTTCTTATATTGCTACTATATTTAGTTATACCTATTATTAAACATTCAAAATGTTTTATTTTTCTTCTTAAAATAGAAACAATCTAAATTAAATTTAAATACATTTTTATAATATTAATGAAATAAAATATGCAAATTCAAGCAACATAATTTATTAAGTTTTTAAATGTAAATCAAGTAAATAATTAAAAATTTATTTTATTTAATAATTATTAATCTATAAAATAAAAAATTTTTGAATTATGTGCTTCTTTTTTCTCAAAAAACTACATAAATAAGTAATATTTTCTTACGATAAGTAAAGTATCAAAGATTAGAGGTATGTTAGCTTAGCTAACTCAGAGCTTAAAATAGTAGCGCCTTCACCATCAATATAATTGGAGCTTTGTTATTTAAGGTACCAATTATTTAAATAAAAATATAGAAGATGTAAAAATAGAAAATTTAAAATTTAAATTAGTTAATAAACTAAAAATATAGAAGAAGCATTAAATAAATTAATTTTAATTTAAGCTATATTTTAAAAATTGAAGAATTTTAATTAAATTTAAATAGTATTTTACGTTAAGTAAATACTCAAAGCTAAAAGATTTGGTAATTTAACTAATTCAGTGCCTATAGCAAATGCTCCCTCATTACGCAAATTAATTTTCCTTATAATTATAAATTAATGTCATATTTTATTAATAAAAATATGTTTAATATTTAATTAAAAAAATATATTTAATATTTAATTTAAAAAATTTCAATAGAATTAGCAATAAAATTTTACCAATAGAATAAAATGAAGCTTAATAAAAACTTTTAATTTAATCATTAGCTAACAATAAAATTAATAAAGTTTTAATTTCTTTTTGATTTAATTTTGAAACCATCATTAGTTTTTTATATTAATATTAATTTTTGCATTTTATAAAGTGATTAATAAAAATCAAATAAATTGGTTTGATTTATTTATTTACCTTAGCGAAAGATTTAATTCTTAGATATTAGTTAATTTAGATAATCCTTATACTAAATATGCTGTTCCCTAACAAGTTATATTATTTTCGCTTTATTAATAAATTAATAAAATCTCAAACTCAATTTAAGGCAATAAATAATAAATTAGAAGGTAACAAAAAAAGTGCTAATTAAAAAAAGTTTATTCAGGATTAAATACCGTGGTTTCTCATATATTAAGGACATATTCAGATAAAAACTTTTGATCAAATTTAGTCCGTCCTTAATTCAAATATTTTCACAATTTATTGAAAAAAGTCCTTAATATATGAGAAACCACGGTAAATAATTTTATTTTTTATTATTTCTTTCTTTTAAAATTTTAGAAACATTTATTTAATTTTTATAATATTCTATTTTTTTTAAAAAAATTAAATAAATTTTATATTGATTTACTCGAAATTTAGCGATAAAATTGAGAGATTAGTTAATTTTGTTAAGTCATTACTTAATTCATAAATGCTCCTTTCACTAATATTGTTTCTCCTTTGATTAGTAAAAATAAAATTTTATAAGAATTAACAGAGTTTGATAAATTAAAAATATTTGAACTAAAATATTTCAAACAAAGAAGAATATTATCTTATTGATAGAAAATAATCAATAATAAATAATTAGTAATCAAATAACTTAAAGAGTAAACACTTGCTTATTTAGTTATTCAGATTAATTATAATTAATATATTTTTTAGCAAGTTAAATTGTCCTTTATGAAAATATAGTTGATAAACATATTAATTGAATACCTATTTCTACAATTTGCTATATATATTTTTTAACAAAATTTCATCTAAAATATGCTTGTAAAAATTATTAAGGACATTTTTATTTACTTTATTTAGTTTTATTGATTTTAGTTTTTCTTAGATGCTATTTAATGTTTTAAGAAAAATATAAATTGATTATTTTATTACTCTAATGTAAGTTTTAAATTAAACAAATTAGTTAATTTTGATAATTGAGAACCTAAGCCAATAACTCCTTAATCAAAAATTCTATTTCTCCTTTTAGTTGTAAGTATATAATTTTATAAATTTTATAGCCTAAGTAAGATAAAAGAAAATTAAAAACAAATAAAATAAAAAGAAGGAAAAAAAAATTTTATATTTTAGTAGAAAAATAAGCTAAACAATAGCTTAAAATCATTTCTTAATTTCCATTTTTATGTTTATTACTGTAAATTGAGAATTAAATTTGTGAGTTTTGTTAGTTTAGCTAATTCATAGCCTAAGCCAGAAGCACCCTTGGTAACAATCTTATTTTCGCTTTTATTAAATAAAATTAATTTTTGTATAATAAATATATAAAAAGTATTAATTAAATAATAAACAAATTCAAGTTAAAAAAGAATTAAATGAAAAACATTGAATTAAGCAATAAAATATAGAGTACTCTATATTTATGATACAAAAAAAAAAAAACACAAGTACAATAAAAAAGAAAAATAAATTAAATAAAAAGCTAATAAACAAATTAAAAAAGTTAGATTGTTTTAAATTCATTTTTATAACGAAAAACATCACAATCCAAGACAAATAAACTGTTTTTACTAAAGATCAAGTATCAAATTTGAGAGATTACTGCAATTTGCTAAAGCAGAACCTAAGTCTGATGCACCTGCTGCACCAATTTAATTCCCACTTTTTAAATAATGAAGAAAAAATAAATAATTAAGTAGATATTTAAAAGGAAAAAATGAAGAAAAAATAAGTATGAATTAATAAACAATAAAAGTAAATATTGAAAATAAAAAAAATGAATTAAATTAAGAAAGATAGAAGAAGAAAAAAACACTGATACAATAAAAAAGAAAAAGAAAAATAAATTAAATATATTTAGCTCATAAACAAATTAAAAGAGTTTTTTTGTTTTAAATTTAATTTTATAAATAAAAATATCACAATCCAAAATAAATAAACGGTTTTTACCCAAGACGAAGTGTCAAATTTGAGAGATTAGTGCAATTTGATAAAGCAGAACCTAAGTCTGATGCTCCTTGATCACCAATTTCAGCGTCACTTTTTAAATATTGAAGAAAAAATATACTATTTATTAGTTACTTAAAAGGAAAAAATGAAGAAATAATATTAAACAATAAGAAATGAATTAATAAATAATAAAACTAAATATTAGAAATAAAAAAATGAATTAAATTAAGAAAGATAGAAGAAAAAAAACACAAGTACAATAAAAAAGAAAAAGAAAAATAAATTAAATAAAAATCAAATAAAAATATCACAATCCAAAACAAATAAACTGTTTTAATCAAGTAAATATTTAAAAGGAAAAAATGAATAAAAAATATCAAATAATAAAAAATGGAAAATAAATTAAAAAGTTAAAAGAGAAAATTAAGTTAAAATAACTAAAAAAATGAATATAGGTGATAATTTTTCTATTAGAAAAATAATATTTTAAATAAACTGAAAGTTAGAAATATAGAAAATTTAATAATAATATTATTTATAA